CCTAGTGTTGTTTTTGTTTTTTTTTGCAGAGTGCAGAGGTTAAATTTGAAGAGGCGTGACTTTAATCATAAAGAAACATGTAAGCTACCTTTAAACAAATTAGCTTAATCACCAATAGCTGTGTGATTATGTCAAGCATGATGATCGATTGCATAGGACTTTTTCCTGATGAGCTCAGAGCATAGCACAGAGCATCAAGTGAAAAGTTCATCCAAGGTAAACTCATCCAAGACTTCCTCTAGTCACATCTCAACAAAGCATGGATATTTCCTTATCTAATATTATGAAAGATACCAACTCTAAAAAACAGAGGAATAGAGTAGAGTGACTTGGCAGTTTGGGACTTGTGCTTTGAGAAAACTGCATTATTTATGAATATCTCTGCCAAACTCCCATTTGTGCAACCAAGTATTACACGTGTACCTGAGGAACACTGCCCAGTTTGAGCATTGCTGTGTGTCTGTGGGGGTCTTCCTACCAGTTGGTAGGATCTGCCAGAGGAATGTAAGAGAAAGCGTGCTTTACAACTTAATGCTAAGCAAGCGATAAGTGTTGTTCAGCCACACCCTGTTTATCAGCTGAAGGGACTTATGGTCCTGTGCTGCTTTTGTTCCTTCAGAGGAATCAGGAGGTGGGATGGTTCACTGCTCTGCTGATAGAGGTAAATAGCATCTCCTCAGGCTATGGGCAAACCTGAGACATCACTCAGGACACATATGGCCAGTATCCAGTTCCTCATTTTGGATAGCAAAAGTTTGGACAATTTTGACATTTTCTGAGTAGGTTTTCTTTGCCTTCTCACAAGATGGAAAGGTTTTCTGCAGGGTCTGTGGATACTAGCACATATATTTATTCCAGGGAATATTGCTCATTAACACTAAGAGTGGATGTGCCTGTATGCAAGAAACAGCAAAGGGAGAGCAGGAAGTTGAAGTGACCCACACCATCTTTCTCCTGTGATTTGACCCCTCATTTTCATTGGGTTCTGAATCTATGGTACCTGTATACATGTGAAAACCTGTCAAGACAAATGTCCAGACAATACTGCTGAGTATTTTGCCAGCTTTGGATTAGATGTAGGCACAGGTATCACGTGCTTATGTCCAGCAACAGCATCTTGGTTACTGGAGGTTTTCATGGTATTTCCAGCTCAACAGTTCCCAAACACACTAGGATTATCCTCAAGGTCAGTTCTGCCACATCTCTGACTATGGGGATTGGCACGATACCACTGTGTATGGTACATTATGCAACATATATGCAGAACACATCATCTCTCCTCATGACATGGCTAATTCAGCCATTTCAGGGACATCAGCAAACAGAAGTTGTGTCATTAGTTCACTGCTTAAGTGTGTCACCATCACTTTACTATACCTCATGGGACAAAGCCTGTTTTCCAGCTCCTTAAACTTGCTCTGGTAGAGGAAAGCGCTGAATAACACACTGTCTGATCAGACTATCTTTCCTACACAATATTTTCTCCTCAGGTTCGTGCTGAGTTATTTTGCTGTGCTATTTGATTCTCTCTTCATGTGCAAATACCATGCACTCAGAGAATCCAGAAGTGCGCACAGCATACGCATGGTAACTGTAAAATCTAGAGTGTGAGTAGCAAATGGAATTTTGGCCTTGCTTTACTCTCATGAGCAAAATCAGAGTAGAACATGAAACTTTGTGAATTCATATTCTGGCACTCAAGAGAGCAATTCTACCAAAGGAGTGAGAGAGAAAACTAAACAGCTTCCTACATTGCCTTTCAGATTTCTTCTTAATTGTATATGAATAGCCACAGTGCATATATATATATATCAATTTTCTTATATCAACAGGTTGTGGGGTTTTTTCCTCATTTAGAATGGGGCAGATTTACTGTCTTCTGGAATCATTCAAAGCAGCAAATGAAGAGGAGATATGGTGGAGGAAATCAGGAACAGACACTCCTGTGAGTTTGCTGTCAAGTGATAAGTAACACAAAAGATTACAAATTAAAGAGGCTCACTCTTTCACAGATAGGGAAAGTATTAAAGTGACATAATCTAGAACACATAACAAAAAAATAAGTAACTTTTTGACACTGCAAAAAAGCTGAGATTTGCTATCAACCATCACTGTTTCCAGAAAGAAAATAAAGGAAATGTACATATGTGAAGCTCTTTTGTTCTTTTCCAGAAATGCGATTTCTTTTTTCTTATCATGTGGCTGCAGCTTTCCCTAAGATTAAAATAATTCTGACATTGTTAATTGTATCATAAAAGTTGTCTTAAAAGACTGACTAGGGAAGCTGAATTCGAAAAACATAATTAGTGACATCCACTGTTACATTTAAAACTATTATATTCTCGAGAGAATAGCGAGGATAACTATAACTCCACATAAAATGTCTGCTATTTGCAATAAATCCTCTCTCTTAATTTTATGTAAGCACAAATTGGAGAGCTTCATAACTCTAGTTTTCTAATTTAAAGTCTGAAAAACATACTAAGAAAAATTGAAATAGCATTTTCTCTCTCTTTTTTTTTTAAAAAATAAATGGCAATAGTTATGCTCAGTTTTAAGTAACAGATGCACATTCATCTCTGTACAGTGTAGTTTAGTAAACAGAGGTGTCAAGGAATTTCTCAAGTCATTACATTTTAGATGTTTTAATGAAATTTATGGCATGGCATGTAGCACCCTACATACACGATTATCAGAAGTTGTTGCATTAGGCCATTGTTTCTTCATAAACACTGTATCCTTTAATGTTCTATAATGCTCTTCAGAAATTGTGCATTGTAAAGATAATTCTTTGTTGAATGCTTAATTACTTGACATGAAAATTACTTGAAATGAAAACCTCACAACCATATTTTACTGCAGAAATTGCTGAAATTTGAGAACTAACAGCTATGTATACATAGTGCCTCATAACAGCACTCAATTCATTTTTCAATTGAGCCTTGTGTCCATTGCCCTGAGTTTTGTGTAACCACTTCTGATGTTCTACCCCAGGAAACTTGTATTCTTTCCAAAGGTTTTGAGAAAACTGTGGTTAGACAATCAAGCCAGGCTGTCAAAGGGTTAGTGGAAACTAATAATCCTCATTTTGTCTGCAACTGCTATAATTGCCCCTTACCAATCATTTATGTGTCTTTGATCTTATAGAGCAACTTCAGCTAATTAAAAGGGCAAGCTGAAGTGGTTCTTTTGTACTAGCAGGATTTTACATGAAATGTGCTTGCAGAAAATACCGATCTGGAAAAATTGTATCATGGTTTATGGTGGTTGTAGCTGATTTGTGCCATAGACTAATGACATCTCTGTGGATTTGTTTCTTTTTGTGATCTTTGTCTGGCATGGTACATTAATAATAGAATATTTTGATGTGGCAGTGCCACACGTTTCCTTCCTGTCATAAAAGCTCCACAAACATTGTGCTGTTGCGCAGAAGAATAGTTTTAGGAGTTATGAAGAAGTAGGAAAGCCTTTATTTTATTTGCAGATCAACCCTTGAGACAGATTTCCCTGGGCTAGGTTAGCCCAATGGAAAGTGTGAGCAGGAAAACTGCAGCCTTCCAGATGTCTGAAAATTTTCTATTCCATGGCACTGAGTTAAGCATATTGCAAGTAATACTCAGTAGCTCTCGGTTAGTGAAACAGTGACATTTCAAAGTGGCTTTGCCAATATTGTCATAATTATGAGGCAAAAGCATTTTCAAAGAACTGCAGTGAAGGCACAGTTGCCTATCACATCCACACACCAGTGCCAGACAACTTTTCTATGTCATCAGAGGTTTCCATCTCTGTAGGAATCTCTGTCTATCATGGGACTTTTGAGGCAGCCAGCTAGGTTTCAGTCTGAGTAACAAATGATGAATGAGAAGCTCCCGCTTCCGTGTTTTTTAGTGCCTGAGATACATTTTAAGGCTGAATGACAACACCAGGATCACACTCTGTTCTTCTCACATCTAGCTGAAAAACAAGATCCCCTGCTAGACATGAAAACATGCATTCAAAACCAGCCACTACTATTTTGAGGGCCAAATCCTGGTTACCAGTATACTGAATGGGTGGAGAGAGTCTGAAGGACTCTGCACCCAGAAACTGTGAAGAAGCAGAGGTATTACAATATCACTGCTATTGATTTATGAGCTGAGACTTTCACAGGCTGTTCAGAGCCAGGAAGAAACTTATGGCCCATCATGAGCAAGACCCTCTAAAAGCAGTGGTAAAAATTTTTCTCTCTTCTCCTGCAGCATATGTTTATTAGTTTCAAGGTATTGGTGACTCGCATCATCTGACTGAGAGAAGGGCTTGCAAACTGCATTTTAATATTACTGGGGAGGAAAAAAAAAAAAAAGAGAGAGCATGATTAAGCACTTGGACAAACTATAAGAGAGGATACTTCTTAGTTTAAATACTTACAGAATCTACAATGGTAATGTGAATGGCTAGGCTGTTTAGACAATAGTAAGGAGACATAAAGACTAAGGAAAACTCAGAACCTTATGTATTGCTGGACAAGTCTTCTATTGAAATAGCCTTTGAAAGGAAAAGGACTGGAAGAGTATCTTAAGGAAGTATGCATCATTAGATCTGTATTAAGAAGAACTGAAGGATTTACTCAGAATTAATGAAAGATTTTGAATAAATCTCGATAAGACTGAAATTTCAAAGGGATCAGCATACACTCTTGCATTATGTTTCAGTTTTCTAACCAGTGGTCTTACTGTCTCTTCTACTCATTATTCTAAGGCTATGTAGATGCGTAATCAATGAATATACAGATGCTATAATTACAAAACACACGGGAAAATTAGACTAAGTAAGATTATTGCAACAGGAAGATAACAAATGGAAAATGCTTACTAATGTTATAGGCTTACAAGATTCTCCATAAGAAGTAATCTGTAGGAAGAGATCCTTCCTTAGAGGCAGCCAGGCTCCACCCTTTCCGGCAGCACAGGTGAATTGCCTTCACCTGTGCTCCCATGGCTGACTCGTTGCTTGCCTCAGATGATCAATCAGAGGTTCAGGCCGTGACTCAGTAGTTCCTATACAGTAGAACAAGAGGTATTCCTTGAAGTACTTTTTCCTATTATTTCATGTTCAAACTGCCACTTTCACATAGAAAACCAGTATAACGTTAAATCTGTACAGTCTGTTTTGGAGGCGTTAGTAGAGAATCACACACTGTCAAATGCCCTTTTGACATAGGTTTTGTAGTAATGACGGAGCAAAGGATTTCTCTCTATAAAGGTAAGTAAACTCAATTTCAGTGCTTATGAACGTCTTAAGCTCATAAATTAGAGAGTGCTGAGAGGTTACTAGTTTCCAAGAATGTGTATTTTAGAAAGGATAATCATGTTAACGCAGGGAATATACTTGAGGGAGTAAAAGTCCTTTCCTTTTGAAACAGGCAAAGAAAGCAATGTGGCTTATCTGGTAAGAATTTTTTTCTCTGCAAAGAATCAAATCACATAGTAAGAATGCCTGAATCTATGCTGTCTTCTCAGACTGTAGGCTTTCCACTTGAAATAGATGAGATTCAGCTTACAACCAGATTGGCAGAAGCTATACTGGAATTCACTATTTGTGTTAAGAGCCTGAGAGCAGGAAATAATTTTATCAGTGCAAAAGATGAGGCCTTGTCTTGTGTTTCCCTGATAAGGCTTAGATACTGTGACAGTCACACAAACTACCACTTTAACTGCTGTCAATGTTTAAGAGTTTTTCGAAAGGTCAGTATTTCAAATGATTATTTTGAATCTATTTCTCATTTTTTATGCTGTATTTCCATTTATATATTTATTTTTATATAATTTCATATTATTTATTTATATACATTTAATACCATTTATGCGTATGTCCTTGAATGCCATTGCTTACTGGATAATTTTGACAAATATGATTTGTGGTCATATCTCTCAGATGTTTTTAAAAATATCCTAATCAAATTCAGCATTCGGTAATAAACTTAATGATTTTAACAAACACAGACATCTTCCAATAAAAAAGCTTACATTTATCCGCTGCTCTCTGTATACATTTTTCCATGTAATTAGAGTTTATTCTCACACGTGCCTGAAAACTGATGCCAATCTGAGTTGATTCAGAGTACTGTGTTAATTAAAACTATCAGTTATAGAAAAGAAACTGTAGAATTGAGAGAGAGAAGTCTGCTGATACCTGTTTAGCATTGGGCTGAATAGTTCTGTGAAGTTGCAGAGATTTTCTGTAAGGTATCTTTTTGTCCTTTTTTCCCTGAAAAACAGAAGCAAAAACAAACAAAAAACATGGATCTGTAAAGTAAGTGTTTACAAACAGTAGCTAAAAAAAACATACATTGCCTGCCTGTGGAAAAGACAAATGTCCTTTTTGGATAACAGGACATACATATAAGGTCTTTGTCTCTGATCAGTATAATGACCAATGGATATCCATTTGTTTTAGAAATAAAAGAAAATGAAGATTGACCAAGTAAGTTTAATACACATAATCAAATCTGTAATTAGATATATAATGAAACTGACCTACTTAGCAAAATACCATTGAAAATTATTGCAAAAAATATGAGTAACAAACTGACCAGATAAGGAAGTTCTTGTTTTTAAGAAATGCTACACTGTTCTGCTTTGGTAAATTCTCATTAAAAAAATCCTTAGCACAGCTTTAGTGGAGAATGCAGTTTAATTAGAGATGGTGTTAACAATAAAATATTAAGCAGGAATGTCAGTTTTTCGTATAACTATTTGGAAAATTTAAGCCATACATTCGTGTAATCACATGGAATTTTATTTATTTATTTTTTAACATAATGGTAAAATGCAGGCTTGTCTTATGCTGTCTTATTATGAGGCAATGTTATCTTTGTTGTTCTTCTTTTGGTTGAGTTCAGCTCCTTAATTCAGTTCATTTGTGTTGGGGGTTCACAGAATGGATTTCAGCTCTTTATGTATATATTTGCCTCATTTAGTGGCCACAAAACCACACAGGAAAAGAATGGAGTTCAGTGACAACCTGATATATTACTTTAAAAATACTAATTTATGTTGTACTATTAAAAAAGCCAGTGTGGATGACAAGCAACATATCTTGCCTGGAAAAAGTTGTTTCCGCAGAGCATGCCTATGGCATTGGTTATTATCATCTAAAGATCCTTGGCTTATGAGACACTTAATTTTTAAATATTATGACTTGATTTTCACCTAAAAAGTAGAAAGGCAATCTTGCAAGTACCCAAAGACTTTAACTCAATTTCTGCACGTCATTTATAGTTGTGAGCAGTTACTATTGTTTGTGCTAAGTTTCATACAGACAAAAAGCAACAGGATCTAAAATATAATAGAAATTTCTATGAAAATATGTCTTATCACACCAGTAAATTGTGATTTCCTCTACCTTTATTTTATTTTTTTTTCAAGGAAACAATTGCATTATTACTTTTCAATGTGATTGCTGTTTCTAAACTCAGTCCCAACAAGAGTAAAAATTTTATAAACAAGGAACATTAGCATTACATTCAAACTGTGGTATCTTGTAGCATCTGAATTTTAGGACTCCTGTCCTGCATCCAAACATTCAAGCACACATTCTGTCTGGTGACTTAGAAAAAGTCTCTAGTGCTGCTGTTTCACCATGCCTCTTGCCCTCAGGGAACATCATCTCTTCCAATGAAAATTGCATGGAACTGAAGGGAGCATACTATTCTGCAGCAGGTACTCAAGTCTGGGCAAGATGTTATTCAGAAACACAATTCTCAGTTTTGTTTATTATAAAAGGTCAAAATATTATATGTGTGAATTCCTTTTCATTATACCAAACACAAATCTAGTGGGACATATTGTATTAAACTGAAACACTGTCTGAACCCTTTGTGCAGATACTGCCCCTAAAGAAACTCCCACTCTTCTCTACAGCACTCCTGCGGAATAGAACCTTGATTGCTGTGAGTGTGCTATTTTCTTTCTACTCTCTCTGTCCTTACCCTCAGATAAAAAAAAAAAAAAAAGTAATAAAAAAAAAAAAAAAAAAAAAAAAAGTAAGGAACAAAAACTTCTACAGAATTCAGTTCCCTGGTCCACTTGATTCCAGTTACCCTAAAATATCTCATTCATGAAGATTCTTTTGCCTCTTCTGCTGTGATCTTGCAATTCAACATTTGCTCTTGGAAATGTATCACTTTTCTTGCTGTGCAAGAATGGGTTATTAAAAGGATTAGTCCTTTTGGGATCAGGAGATCTGAATTTGCTTTGGAGATAGCTACAACATCAGCCTTTAGTCCATTTCTCTATCGAGATTTTCACATTTGATTGTGTCAAGAGTAACAACATTTCTTGTGGTTGTAAAGCAGTTATCAGAGTTGGCCTTAAGATTGCCTGTTAACATTACATTGTTATGAAGTTTATACTAAGTTTTTCTTATAAGATTAATTTTCATATGTTTCATTTATCAGAATCTCCTGGAAATAGTTAATTAAAAAGGTTCATAATATATAATTTCTCCTACCTTGTACAGAGAGATATGATAGTAATACAGTGAAGTACACTTTATTTCCAGGGCTATGTTAATGAATTATAGACCTATAGAATCACGGAATGGTTTGGGCTAGAAAGGGCCTCAAAGCTCACTGACTCCCAACCTGCAGCCATGGGCAGGGCTGCCCCCCACCACCTCAGGTTGCCCGGAGCCCTATTCAACCTGACCTTGTTAAACCTCTTAGATTCTCATGTTCCCACTCTTCAAGCATGCCCTCTGGATGGCGTGTCTCCCTTTTGTTGCGTCAGCTGCACCACTCATATTGGTGAGTGTACCCTCAATCCCATTGTCTATGTCATTGAAAAAGATGTTGAAGAGCGTCAGTCCCAAAACAGACTCCTGAGAGACACCATTCATGCCTGGCTTCCACCTGGACATAGAGCCATTGACCACAATCCTCTGGCTATGATCATCCAGCCAATTCTTTATCCGCCTAACAGTCTACCCTCCAAATCCATATATTTTTAATTTAGAGATAATGATGTGGTACAGGACCATGTCAAAGGCACCAGGTGCTGTCACTTCAGCATAGAATGCCACCAGATTGGTCAGGCATGATCTGCCCATTGTGAAGCTGTGCTAGCTGTTTCAGATCACCTCTTGCGTGTCCCTTCTAGACCTGACAGCCTCAGGCTTCTCTCTGCGACTTCATCACTGCTAGCCTGAACTAAGCTTGATAAAAATCAGATCATTTCACCAGCTCTGACTGAGCCACTGCTGAGCTTATGTGCTCTAGGGCTATGTCCTTAACTAACAAAAAATCAGACTAAATACATCTTTCCTTCATACATCTTCTTCATGGCTATGAAAAAAGAAATGGTTGAATGAGCAAAATGTAGCTTTTTCTTTATTCTTTTCTTAAACCTAAACTCAGCAGTCCTGCACTGAACTCTGCAAAGGAAATGGAAATAGGAAAAGGGAGAAATCAGAGTGGGAGGTTAGTTAGGTTTACTGATAGAACACATAATGAGTGCTTTTTTAGTTTTCTGATAAATTGACTTGTCATGTTCCCCACAGAAAGGAGTCAGTAAGGCAGTCATGAATTGTAGACAGAATAGTCCAGAAACACTTGCTGGTACATTGAGTTATGTATCTGTCCAGAAGACAGCTAGGTATGACAGTCAGAAATGTTTAAGAATCAATATCTTTATGCTAGTATCATATTGTGATAAATAGGTTAACCAAGTTATCTTCAAATATTCTACTGAGAGCTCTTCAATTGGAAAAAACAGCAACAACAACAACAACAACAACAACAACAACAACAACAACAAAAAACACCTATGTGGATATAAAAAAAAAACCAACTAGGCAGTAACTTATAAGTGTAACATAAAACACAAAAAATTCTTACATTTGATAATGGTGGAAAAAGTGGAAGAGGGTCTGCTGGGTCCTTTCTCTGCTTCCAGACATTGCCTTGGAGTTATAAAGGGAAATGAAAAAGAACGTCATTGCTTCAGATGCACATACTTCCATTTCAGGTCATAGAAAAGGCTTTTGGTCTATTTTAGACTTCATGTGGAATACTTGCCTACACGAATAAACACCTCACTCAGGGATCATCTAAACCTCTTTTGACTAAAACCAATCTGCAGTTGCGCTGTCATATGAAAGTAACAAGCTCTTCACAAGAATAGATCAGTTGCTGGGGGAAACAATCTTCAGTAACTGAGAGGAAGGCTTATTTTAAGTCAGTTCCTGTGTGGCTTTAAAAGCTATGTGCTTTTGCATGCACTGTCTGCGCCAGCCTCATGCTGTCTTCATGCTGCAGGTGGGATGTGTTTTTCCCTGAATTCTTTGGCTTCTTGCAGCATCATGTCAGCTGTTTCTGCCTCCTACCTGACACCATCACCTTTGGGGTGTCCCATGGCACCTCTAGCACGGGCAGGAAGGTGAATGCAGCCACAGCAGGTGCTGCTGAAGATCTCTGCGGTTTTCGTAACAGAGCAAGACCTGGCTGTCACTGCCTGTAGGGTGGCTTTGAATCGTAAGTCCAAGTTCTTAAACTGACAACAGCAGACCACCAGTAATACTACATGAGAACAAGAAACTTTTAGTTCTGCATTATTGACAGATCCTTTTGGAACTCTGCTTGTGATAACAATCTTACTGTGCCCTGAACAAGTAATGTACGACTTCTATGTTATTGGATAAGAACATATGTTTCTAGGGGAGAGAGAGAGAACTGTGTTTTGTTTTCTTTTTACATCTTTGGCTTGGCAAACATGGTAAAAGGACTAACACAAAGAATTCTCTGAAAAAATAAGGAGTGAAAGCAGGTTTACCTTTTTCTCGGATGAACTGGCTCCAGAACAGTATCTTCATTTTCCTTGTGCTCTGTTTAGATAAATGTTTCCAGTCAGAAACCTCAGTCTGAAATATTTGTCTGAACTCCGAGTTCAAATCTTGCCCAATATGAATCTTTTGGTTTAATTCTGTTACTGACCAAAACTTTTGTCAAATTTCTAAATAAGAGCTCATCTTTAGTTAGCGCGTGTTTCAAAGGAAATCATCTAGGCATAGCAAATATCATGCATGCAACTCAGTGAGTTCATAAGTAACAGATGTCATTTGCAGTAAGAAATAAGAGTAAGCGCTTATGTTTTGAATTATTTAAGCACATGGGTGCAAAGAACAACCAAAAGGCTAAAAAGAAAATATTTTTGCTGTGTTAGACTAAAATGCTTATTCTCAAAGGCAGTTAAAATTATGCAAAGGAAAGATCATTAATCAACACTTTGTCCATATTTTTTTTTCCTTAAGAGACCTCAATCAAGACTGGAGGCCTATTGTGTTAATGTTCTGTGGATATTTGGTAAGATGAAGTCTACATCCAGATAAATCTGTATTTCAAAAGCACATAGTGAAATGGTTATTCACACTAGTGCTTGTTTACAGGGAGATGCATCCCAGCTTGCCCACTGTATGATTTCTGCTTCCTCTGAACAAGTGTCATAAGAAGGCAATGTCCCAGAAAATAACTCCATATGTCCAGCTGCTCTGGGGAAGGTGGGAAGAGTCCCATGCTCAAGATGTCACCAGTGACATTTGGTTCCTCCACACACAGCCTCATTGCTCTGCAGTCTCAATCAATGTTTCTCTTAGACGCTTCAGCTGAAGGTATACAACTGCAAATTTCAAAGGCTGACACTCCATTGACAAGGATGAAGGAACAACATATATATATGTATCAACTAGGAGCAAAAAACTATAAAGGTGGATTGCAAAAAGAAGTTGGCAATGATCACAGTAAGGAGTCATGGGAGTAGAGACCTTGGCCAAGATTTTATACTCATTTTACTTTTTGAGCCACAGAAGATGTTAAATAACACTGAGGCTGAATAAGATTTTAATAACGAATATATGCAGAAGTAAATAAAAACTGAAAAAGAACCAGTAGGATAGAAAAGTAAAAAATTAATAATCTCTCTCCCAGCCCCTCTATACATCATTGCAAGCATGCACAGCTGCATAAAATATAGGAATAAATTTTTATTTTGTCTTTCACCTTCCAAGTTTTTATGAAGAGTGATTATGGATTAATTTTAAAAAATTGCTAAATACACCAAAAATAGAAATGCAAAAAAATGAAAATTATAAATGGAATAGTTATACACCTTTGAGATAAGACTTTGCCAAACTGATTGGGAAAATTTATAGTGCTGTAAATCTGTGCCTAACACATTGCAGCTGTAGTTACTGAAAAATGATTTTTGCCACATATTTTAATATAAATTATAGTAGCTCTGGGAGTGCAAACTATTCAAAACAGTGTTTTCAGGAGTTATTTGCTGTTTTAGTTTGATACACAAGATATGGATACAATTAGAAGAAAGAAAAAGACAGGAGAATTATAAGGAATATTACAGTTAAGAGTGCCTATAGGAAAAGTCTTTCTCAGAAGCACAATACATCTGTTAAGCATAACATATGAAGTATTTTGTAGACTTCTTAGATTCATTCATTGCTCATTGGTAAGCTCTTGCTGAAATGAAAATAAATCTTTATAATGTTAATGGAAACAATACTGATTCTTGTACAGCTAATGCATATTTTAGGCTGAGATCTATACAGTCATTTCTTTATTGAGAAAGACATATATTTAACTAGCTTGTGGCTATTACCATTGATTCCATAATCAGTTTTATTTATCAGAGGCAAAGATTTCATTTCAGTATAGCCATCATCTTTCCAAAATCTTTCATTAGTGTTTGCAGCATACAGTTGCCAAGGAAAAGTAGTTCTTATTCACTTAAAGTCTGATATTGGAGCTAAAGTACATATTTGGTTAATAGTTTTGGAAGTAATTTGGATGTTTCTCTAGGCATATATTTGTGTTTAACGAAGTAGGCTGGTACAGTTGACTGCTCTCTTAAGTAAGATCAAGTATGGTCTACTCAGGGAGCCTAACATACAGAAAATTCAAAAGGAAAATGGAAATGTGGGACTTAGATTATTTTTTGTATATAAAGTCACAAATAATTGCCATTCTTCACTAAGCAAACTCTAAGTAGTTGGCATTTTTGGAAACAGAGCTGAGCATGTTTTGCTATGTCAAAAACAAGCAAACAAACAAGTGACCAAAAGACACTTTGAGTTTTCATACTGATTTGATATCAAAGTCTTTTAATAATAGATTTTCCTGATAAAAATGTTAGTTGCCTGTCAGCATTTTTTGGATGTTTTTTTTGCAGAGTATATAGATGAAAAAACCACTGAAGAAAATCCAGCAATACTCTTTTTACCAGCAGGAAACTCAGACTGTGATCTTTATAGCTCTGTGTGACATAGAATAAAGATAGCAGACTGTAATTCCCCCAACATCAAAACTACATCATAAAAAAAGGGGTGAGTATTGTAGGCAATTCCTCCCCATAGGCAACTGAATGCCCAATATGCCAAGCAGATCTTCTTAGAGAAATCTGCTGTCTTTCTAGGGTTTGAGTGAGGGATGTCACCAGGAAACTACCTAGCCTCATATGGCCATCAGACCACAACCACTTCTACAGGTACCTCAGTCAGAAAAGGAAAGTCCAGAAGGGCATGCTCTCCCTCGTGAGTGACACAGGCAAGCTGGTAACAACAGAAAAGGAGAAGGCTGAGGTACTGAATAACTTTTTTTGCCTTGGTCTTCTCTGATAACTGCTCACCACACAGCCCTGCTTTGGTTTAGTAGGAGAGGATTGGGGAAGCAGTGTCCTTCCCACTGTAAATAAAGATACGGTTTCTAATCACCTGAGGAACCTGAACATCCACAGGTCTAGGTGTCCCAAAGAGATGAATCCCAGAGTCCTGAGGGAATTAGCTGATGTAGTTGCCAAGCCACTCAATGATATTTGAAAAGTTGTGGCAATCAGGTGAAGCCCCTGGGGACTGGAAAAAAGGCAATATCATGCTCATTTTTAAGAAGGATAAAAAGGATAAAAAGAATGACCCCCCAGAACTACTGACCTGTCAGTCTCAGTTCTGTGCTGGGAAAGATCAAGGAGCAGGTCCTTGTGCTAAGGCACATGGAAAATAGGGAGGTGATATGGGAGAATCAGCACAGCTTCACCAATAGCAAATCCTACTTGACCAACCTAGCAGTCTTTATGATGATGTTGCTGCATCAGTGGACCAGGGAAGAGTCATATAAACTATCTGGATTTCAGTAAGGCCTTTGACATGGTACCCCACAGCATCCTTCTCTCCAAATTGGAATGATATAGATTTGATGGGTGGACTGTTCAATGGATGAAGAACTAGCTGTGGGATCAAGTCCACAGAGGGGTGGTCAGTGGCTCAGTGTCTGGATCAGTGATGAGTGGTGTCCTGCAGAGGTCAGGAGTGGGATCAGTGCTTAATATCTTTATCAGTGACACTGACAGTGAGGTCGAGTGCACCCTTAGTGAGTTTGCTATTGACACCAAGCTGTGGGGTGCAGTTGACAGACCAGAAGGATGGGATGCCACCCAGAGGGACCTAGACAGGCTTGTGCAATGGGCCCAGGTGAAGGTCATGAGGTTCAACAATCCAAATGCAAGATCTCGCACCTGGGTCAAGGCAACCCTCACTATCAATACAAGCTGGGGGATGAAAGGATTGAGCGCAGTCCTGCAGAAAAAGACGTGTGTACTGGTGGGTGAGAAGGTGAACAAAAGCCAGCAGTGTGCCCTCACAGCCCAGAAAGTGAACCATGTCCTGGCTTGAATCCAAAGAAGCACGGCCAGCAGATCAAGAGAGGTGATCATGTCCCTCTGTTCTGCAGTGGTGAGGCCTCACCTGGAGTACTGTTCCAGACATGGAGCTTTGGAGTGTGTCCACAGGAAGGCCACAGAAATGATCCAAGGGATGGAACACCTCTCCTACGAGGGCAGGCTGAGAGAGCAGGGGCTGTTCAGCCTGGAGAAGAGAAAGCTCAGGTGACTTGAGAGTAGCCTTTCAATATCTAATGGAGAACTAAAGGAAGGAAGGTGACAGAATTTTTAGCAGGGTCTGTGGTGATAGAAGAAGGAGAAATGGCTTCAAGCTTAAATAGGGTAGATGCCGTTTGGATATAAGAATAAAATCTTTTACAGTGAGAATGGTGAGGCAATGGAACATGTTGTCCAGTGAAATGTTTGATGCCCTGTCCCTGGGGACTTTCAGGCAAGGCCGGATCAGTCCCTGGGCAACCTGATGTAGCTGTGCATATCCCTGTTCATTGTAGGGAAGTTGGACTAGATCTTAAACAGTCCCTTCCAACTCTAAGGATTCTATGATTCAATGATTCTGTGATAATTTTAACATAAAGTTCACCCTCAGCATTAGTAAGTAGAAGATGACTTTTCTCATGACATTGAGTAACATCTTATGAAATCTTTTCAATACACTCTCCGTTTTAAACTGCAGTCTGTTTTTTATCTATGATTTAATTTTTTATTTTTTTTTTTTTTTCCACAACTCAGTGTCTGAGCACTGCTCTGATATATTCAGTGTTTGGAAAGATGTTCATATCTAACTCTGTAAATGTGCTGTTTATATTTGCAAGTACTTTTGAGGTATTTGGAAGAAAAGAACTGTTAATAGCAAAATATTTTAACTGTTATCTAGTAATATATTACTAATTCAACTATGTTCTGACTGGAAATGAATCATTATACTGAGTAATCAAGATTTTAAATTCATTTAAAAAATGGAATTACATTATTTTACTCAGAAGGAAATCTGAACTATTCCAGAAAGGCATTAAAATTGTAACACTTCTTTGTTTATGCCTTTTCATCAATAATATGCTGCTCAATTTTGATTTAATCTGAGACCTACAGAGTTGCAGCTCCTCAATGTTTTTGTGAAATATACCTTCTTTATTTCATTTTTGGATTTGTCTATGCATGATAGTTTCCCAAAAATTCTCCTCTAAACAATTACCAGTTTAATGAGTTACTAACTCAGGTTTAAGATATCAAAGTTTGGAGGATACCTCCTTATTTTCTAAGATATTTTGCATTCTTGCATCTTACCTCTGTAGTGACCCAATGGAAATTTTTTATTCAGTGTAACACTACCACAAGAGAACTTAGATAGTTCTGTATTTCAAGAATGTAAAATAAACAAGTAAATACACTGGCAGCTTTTTTTATTGGCTGTGCACCACTGAAAAATGAAGAATTGTTTTAGAGAATCAAATCCAGATGGTAGATATTAGATGGTAGAATTAATCTACCAAATGTCACTAGGAGAATAAAGTGAATGTACTGATTAATTTTAGGAAGAAGCACTGATAACAAAAGAAAAAAAAAAAAAAAGAGAGAGAGCTTTTTGATGTGATTATATCTAGTTTTTAGTTCCTCAGGGGCTGTATGAAGAGTCTTTGCAGGTGCAGACAGTTTCACTGACAGCACAGACATTGTAATTATGACATTATAATGGCCCAGGAAACCACGTTTAAGTAGAGTAAAAGGCCTGCTACAGATAAGACTAATATACAAAAAATGTATTATGTATTTTTATTTGTCTTTTATTTGAGAATATTTTCTTGGTAAGAAATGCTGTGTTAAAATAAAAGAGCAATTTGTAGTTTAAGCCTAGAAAACCGTGGGCTATTTTGCTGGAGAGAGGCTGCCTAATTTCTTTGCAATGTGCTGATTTTACAAGCCAGTGACTCTTGCAAACTAGGGAGAGGTGTGAGGAAAAAGTGGAACATATTGACTGTCACTTTGCAGTGAAAAGGAAGAAATTACGAGGGCTACTCTGGAAGTAACACCTCTTATTTCATTATGTTGGCCCATGACATCAGAGGAGGAAGGTAGTGGTGAACTAACCAGCATATTGTCAGGAAAAGGTGATATAATATCTTGGTATAGGTAACTTTGCAGTGGAACATGAAGTTACCTGTGTGTTTGTGACCACTGTTAATTAATTTCTCCTTTTAGCATTTGCCAGAATAGACTGGAAGATTAAGATCAGGGAGTAAGAATTATTTTGCTGGATTGGATTTTGCTCACCAATATAGACACTTTACAATTAAAATTCAGATAGGTCTTCAAAATTTTCATTGCAAAATGTAAAGTCCTCTGGTACTTCTTCAGTTCATAAAGCAT